GTGTACCTCTTCTCCTTGAATGAATTGATGACCCTAAAAGGTCGGTTATGTACAATGGAGTACTCTTGCAACCATGATTTCAACTCATCCATGGTAGCAAACAATATGCCCTTCCGTATGATGAGGCAACCGCTAACATCAGGAACAGTTGTATCACTTGGCCCACCATCGACCATCGCCCTATGACCATGGCTAAGGTCCTCGAAATCACCAACTAGTGGATCTCTCCAAGGCAAGACCCTAGACAATATCTCTATTTCCCTTAAATTGAGGACGACCAGCAGGCGATCGTCATCGAGTCTTGGCTATCTCCTCTCTGAAGGACTCATCATCTCCACTATCTCCATGTCAAAACGGTTCGTAGCCCTAGCATCACCAAAGTCTTCTTCACTACTAAGATCATCTTCGTCGCTAAGCTCATCCTCGATAGAAAAGTCTCCGCTAGCGTCGTCCAAACCTTCTTCTGCATCAACAATTACATAATCATCATCCTCTTCATCACTATCATGATTGCCCTCACCATCGGCAACCGGATTCTCTTCCTCATCTCCACCGTAGCCTAGTTGTGTGACAAGTATTTCTTCTTCAGGCAAAGGACCATAACCTATGTGAGCGGGGGAAGATGGCCATACTTCGAAGTTATCATTTCCTAAGCCGGACTCCTTACTTACTACTAAATCCAAAGATCGCACTTCTGAGGCCAATACAACTGCCTTGTAATCATTTCATTCAGTCTCGATTGTAATTTTGAGCAACCGCTTGATCCGAGGACCCTTCGATGACCCAACATCTATGACACCTTCAAACTGAACATGCACGTCTCCTTCATTCCAGCCTAACTTAACCTTCACTCGCTCCATTAACTAGGTCAAAGATGGTGTTTCAGAAAAAAATCAACAACTCCTCACACATGTCCAGAAATTCCAAACTATCATCTCTTGTCCTAACAATACGGCCTCCATGATGCAACCTCACTAATTTATCCATCTACAGCCATCACACAACAAGTAGTGTAACATATGAATATATTTCAATCCAATAAGTAGAAACTAAAATATATCATTTCATCGTTTTTCAACTCCAACAACATAATCATTTCTAGTCATAACAAATTGAAATGTAATGACCAACAAATAAATAAAATACATAGTAACCCTAATGACCAACAAATAACTAACCCTAATGACACCTACAATAAACAAATAACCCTAATGACCAAAATAACTAGAAACCAAACTAACCTAACATGTTCATCACATAAAACAGTTAAACAACAATGCACTCAATCATCCTAAGCCATACATTTTGCAAATGCAAACACAAATATACCAAATCACCAAACAACAATGATTCCACATGATTAGGGACAATGTAAGCACATCTACGCGGATAGAATGGAGGAGGGGAGGGACCATTACCTCGAGGAAGCTTGGGAGCCGAGATCGTGGCACCGGGGTCGATTTTGGAGGTTAGGGTTTCTTGTGCTGGGGAGAAGAGAAAGAGAGGGAGGCGGTGGTTTTTGAATGAAGGAGGAAGAAGAAGGGGCCTCGGCGCGGCCTAAAGGTCCAGACCTCGGCGTTGAGTTGGGTCACGCCGAGGTCTGGAGGCTTCAGCGTTAAGTGACCCAACGCCGAAATTTGCTAGGCCACCGTGCTTTGTTGGGCCGCTGGGCAGCGCTCCGGATGGGGCCAAAGCTCGTGGCATGATTAGACTGCAGCGCCGAGGTTGGGTACTTGGCGTCGGTGACACGACGCCGACGTCACGGACCCATCGCATTAACGCGTGCGATGTCGGCGACGACCCGACCTTTGGTCGTCCGTGACGTGGCAATACCTCGGCGTCGAGTGACACGACGCCGAGCCTCATATCTCGGCGTCATGTGCTAAGACGCCTAAAAATGGTCTATTTTCAGAAAATGTTTTGACGTTGGTATTTTTCTAAAAATTGTTTTCAAAAGAGACCAAAATACGAAAATTTCACGCGAATATGAATCTTAATCCAAATAGGAAAAATATAATAATATGGACAGTTAGGAATCTTAATCCAATTAGATCTCTCCGACTCCGAGTAACCGGAATAGAAATCTTAATACAAATGCAAAAATATAAGAATAGAAATCTAATAAAGAGAAAAGAATGGTAGAATTTCTTTGTTTCGTTTCTTTTCGGTTCTTTTTTCACTTTTTTTTTGTTTTTCCATTTTTATTTGATCCGAGTACGTGTAGCTTTACATTCTGATCTGGACGCTTTTTACTCTCCGAATATGTTCAGATTTTTTTCGTGTCTATTTTCTAGAGTACATTCCAATTTTTATCGTAACTTTTTTCTACTTGGCTTCGAGTATGTTCAGATTTTCTTCTTATGATTGTTTTTGACATTAGCTTCCAATAATGATATGATATCTTATTCCAAAATTGTGGCAGAAATTTTGCCACTTTATTATTATGTATAGATTCCAATACGTATTGGATTGTGTTGTAACGCACGGGTATTTTTACTAGTGACAAACCAAAACACCAAATTGAAGAACGTATATGAAAGGAAAGCCAGGTTCAGCGCAGCAAAAACTGAGCACTCTGCAAGTTTATTACAGGCCTTACCATGCAGGGCATGAAGCAAAAAGAAACCACTGTGCCAGTTATCACCAAACAGAGAACTTAACAAACACTAGCATTCAGCAAAATAAAAGCTCCCAGAGAACAAGAAAAAAATAGTTTCCTCCTCCAGCAGGTACCGCAGGCATCATTCCTACCACGCGCACAGCTTAGAAATCAACCAACGACGAGGAAAGAAAAAAGAGGCAACGGCACCATTCGCAGTTCATCCTGACTTTAGTGACGCGAACCTCCAGCCAGCTGCAACTGCAAGAATTCACCAGCCCCTTGTTCTAGTAGCATATGTAGCATCTTCTGACTTCTGTCCTCTGTCTGTAGTATTATGCCCAAGCGTTAATCCAATGATAAAACCAGTCTCGTAAAAAAAATGATAAAACCAGAAAAGTTAAGAGCAAACAGGGTAACTTTGCATTCTGCATTGAAAATATGCACTTATGTTTCGCCCCTGCCTGCAGTATAGCCCAAAATACTGTAGTACTCAAAGAGATAAATTCAACTATGTTGCATTCCTGAACCCTCCAACGCATGCACATATCAACGTTGCTTTAGTTACTGTATTCAAGTTAATTCGTGTGCAACTGGATAACATAAAAGATATATTGACCCTGTTATCCATTTCATGCTCATGTGCTTGCTATTAGTAAGCACATTAACGTGGAAGAAAAAGGTGCGAATGAGGCAATTTACTAGCTGACCGTATGGACAATGAGCACAGAAATTTAGGTAAGTGGTATCAAGAAAATTGCTTACCTCACCAAACTGCAGCATCCATGCATTCGTCAGCATATTCTTACCCAAATATTTTACTTAGTTAATTTAACAAAGACCTTTCTGATGTGCATAATTTTCTGAAGTTTTTTGTTCCAGGGATTTTCTTTACATCCATCCCTAAGCTTCTCTACAAGCTAGTCTGCAGTGTCTTCCAAGTATAATTCCTCAAGGGTTCTAAGATACTCAATGCCCTGAGGCAGGCACTTCATGTTTTGGCAGTCTGATAACACTAACTCAACAAGGCTTGCCAGTGCACCTTCTTCTATTATGATTTGGTTGATCTGCGGAGCACCCCATATTCTTAGCACTCGCAGTCTAGGAAACGCTTGTGAAGGGAAGTACATTGTCTTTCCATTATAAGCCTTATTAAGAATAAGACACTGTAAACCGTGTAACACCTTCAGGCTAGAAAATGAGTCTTCATCAAGTCTGGAGAATCTCAGAAACAACTGCTTAAGGTTGTTAAGGTGCGACCAGGAAGAGAGAATCCGAGGCAACAAGTTGTTTTCCAGTTGCCCTAGCAGTCCAAGTTTAGTGTGTGTCTCTGGTAAACTGAGTGCTTCTAATGGTAGTACTTCATTTTCGTTTGATGCATCAATGGATAGTTTTGTAAGATGACCCACGTTGGTTATAGCACTACACAAGCTGGAAGCATGCTCACTTAGCACATTGCAAACTGAAAATGTTCTCAACTCTGTCAAAGCGGCAACATCATGAAGTGTCTCAATGCTTGCTTTAACCTCTTGCAGAACATGCAGGCTGGTCAAATTCCTTATGCCTCTAGGCAACCTAATTCCACTAAAATTAGTCAAAGGCCCTTCTCCAACCATTGCTCCAGAGTACAGAAACCTAAGCTTCTTCAGTTTTTCTACACCGTTTGGTAAAGATTGCAGAGAAGTAGTGATTGCATCCAGCACTTCTAAGTTTTTCAGCCTTCCTATTGTATCAGGTAGCACCTCAATTGCAGTAAGGCTCTCCTAAAATTCCTGTCACATCGAATATTTAGACACATGTATGGAGTATTAAATATAGACTAATTACGAAACTAATTACACAACTTGCGACTAATTTACGAGACGAATCTTTTAAGCCTAATTAGTCCATGATTTGACAACGTGGTGCTACAGTAAACATGTGATAATGACAGGTTAATTAGGCTTAAAAAATCGTCTCGTAAATTAGCCTCCATCTATGTAATTGGTTTTGTAATTAATCTATATTTAATGCTCTTTATTAGTATCTAAACATTCGATGTGACATGAATTTTAGGAGCGACTAAAGAACCAAACACCCCCTAAATCTAAGACCCAGAAACCTTAGATTGAACAAATTGAATACCTTATCAGGCAACATTTTGATTTGAGTACCTTGCAGATCCAAAGCTGACAGCAAGTTTGAAGATGCAAGGATAGGCCTTAGCAATTCAATATCAATGGAACTCGCAAAAGCATATATTGCCCGTAGATGTGTTGCACCAGATTGACTCAATGATGAAATATTGGAACTTTGTATTGATAGTCGACGTGAGTTGCATACCAAGAATGTCCTGGATCCCACGAAAACTTCACCAAAGCATTCTGTCTCTGCTTTTTTGAGAGCAAGATGGCGGATCACATCATGCACTCAGGCACTTCTTCACTCTTCCAAACTCATTCTTCACAACTTGTAGCAGGCTTCGGTTTATAAGGTCATTCAAGTAGCCCTCAGCCACTTCATGTGTATTGTTCTCTTTTTCGTTGACGAATCCAGAAGTAATCCAGTGCTTTATTAACCTTCTCCTCCTCAGTTCATAATCCTCTGGAAAGAGTGCACAATGTAAGATGCAGTTCTTCAGTTCATATGGAAGGTCCTCCAAACTGACTTTCAAAATGCTATCAACACCAGGGATTGTGTTTTTAGTTGACTGCAACTCTAACTTCTGGTACACCTTTTCCCATTCAGAGTAAGTTGGGGGTTTGAAACACAGTAGCTGGCCTATGCACGCGATAGCAATAGGCAAACCTTCACACTTTTCTAAGAACTTTGTGGCCAAATCCCATAACTCCAAAGGGCAGCTCTTGTCCTCGTTGTTCCAAAAAGCTAGCTTGAAAAATAACATATAAGAATGCTTTTCTTGTAGTGGTTTTAGCATAATTGCACAATCATTACTTGCCAATGATGCAACTTTGGATAATCTTGATGTGAGAACAAATCGGCTTGTACCGTTAGTAGGAAAAAGATTCATGATATTAATCCACACATCCTGTTCCCAAACATCATCGAGCACTAAGATGTACCTTTTACCTTTAAGATGGTTACGGATGGCCTCAACTACAATTCTTATTTCCATATTGCTACAATCGATTGAGATGCTGAACGCCATTGCAATTCTTTTCAGTAAATCCTCAATTTGGTAACTCTTGGACACAGTTACCCATGCAGCAGTGTCAAACTCGGCTTTCACAATGTTATAGACATGATCAACTCCACCCATCCCCCCCACTGTAGTGATTCTACTGTTCCATTCTTCCAAATCACTGACTAGCCACCCCTTGAGCTTGTCTGCAGCATCTTCAATACCCACTAGATCGCCATCCCTTGAAATACACAAATTTTGAGTGTTGGATTTCGCATGATGGCCACCGCTCCCAGTGCGTCCCAGCATTCCTGGGATGACATAACGGGCCCTCCTTTTTGTAACTTCTTCAAGCTCGGCATTGATATCATGGAGCTTGTGAGCTAGACGGTGCCAAACCTTGAGATGCTCGATCCTCTTCTTCATTTTGGCTGCAAATCCTCCATGGTTGTCGTCCTCAAGCTTGTACATGAACTCATCGACAACATCCTCAATCTGGAAAGATAGTTCCCGTATCTTCTTGATGAAGATACCAGTGATCTCGTCAGAATCCTTGAACTTCTCAGACTCACGCAGGTAGGCTTTCATGCACTCCAGCTCCACCTTGGCTTTGCGGATCTCGCCAAAGAGACCCTTGAGAGAAGCTTTCTTGCAAAGCAGGGATGTACTGTAGGCTGCTGCTTCTTTGGCCAAGGCTGCACCTACCTTGCCAATCAGCACTCCCACAACAGCCTCTGCCATGGTGGTTTTGTACGCTTGAAGACCTCAGAGTTACATGTGGACCTCAACAACCTAAACCCCAAATTTCAAAAAATTAACTCGAGTTACCTTTCAGCTCGACAATCTGAACCTTTTTTTTTTGAAAAAGAAAACAAACAAATTCAAACCTTGCACTGATGAAACTTGACAGTGTTACCTGAATACGAGAAGCTATAGAACAAGCACGCATTGAAGTTGAAGATCAGGCTTTGTTTTAGTCACGGTTTGCATTGGGGAGTAGGAGGAGTTGCAAGCGGTAGAGTCTTACCGCCTGTGACCGGAAGGTCCCGGGTTCGAGTCGCGGTCTCCTCGCATTGCACAGGCGAGGGTAAGGCTTGCAACTAACACCCTTCCCCAGACCCCGCACAGAGCGGGAGCTCTCTGCACTAGGTACGCCCTTTGCATTGGGGAGTAGGAGGAGTTGCATCGTCAGAGATGGAAAGGGGCAAGTCATGCGGTTTCGTGGAAGGAGACGAGGAAAAAAAAAAGTCTCTGCGCTTGTAGAGGAGAAAGCTACATAATCATTAATCAGTCAGTAATCAGATGCTGTCTGGTTAAAAGCGCCAATCAGTGGTGGGCCATCACCTAACGCATCATCCACTAAGTGAGGGGTGTCTGTCACACAGCGTTAGACTGACTTGGTCATTAGAATTTAGACTTGTAGAGTACAGTGTAAGTGTAGAGCAGTCCACCAAACTGTGCAATGTTCTCGCAGGAACCCAGCAGATCATCATTAGATCTCCCCAAAGCACTCAGCACAAGGCCACAAGCCCACAAGGCACCACTGAAGTGTGCCACCAAAGCAGAGCAAGCATTTCGTTAAAAAAAAGGCAGAGCAAGCAAGGCATCAACGACCTGAAGAAAATGAAACAGACCATCAGCGCAAGAAAGGCCGACCTGTTCGGCTGGGGCTGAAACGATCATATACGATCGTGGATTATTACCGCTGGCTGGTTTGGTGTGAGAGAAAAATACTGTTCTGGCTGGAAATTTACGATCATTTACGACCAAGCGAACAGGGCAATGTCACCACTGCCCAGAAAGCTGTATAAAATGAGTACCTTATTGAGCATGTGCTAGGCGCGTTAGGCAGAAAGGACATTTTCCTTCATTTATCAGATCAAACTGAAGGACTTGCAGGATACGAGACGACCAACTGCCCTGTCTCTGTGACACCAATATACCAGGTTCAGAGAAACCAAAGATACACACCATATACCACATTCAGAGAAACCAAAGATACAGCATGTTAATTTCCAGCGAAAATGAAAGGCTCTGGCACTTGGGATTACAGACCTGGGAGAGGACAAAAGGACCAAATATGCCACACCCCAACTCCCAATCACCATCGACGCCTCACGCATAAGCACCACGGCAAACAGGAGCTCCACGTTCAAGTACACATGAACGCACATTCAGTCCACATCAGCCAAACCGAGCACGTAGAACCATTAGCAAAAGCTATATCGATAAACCACCCGCTGAATCGCTGAAACCAAAGATACACACCATATACCACGTTCAGAGAATCCAAAGATACAGCACGCTAATTTCCAGCGAAACGAAAATTAAAGGCTCTTGCCACTTGGGATTACAGACCTGGGAGAGGCCGAAATGACCAAATGCCGCATCCCAACTCCAAAGCGTCCTCGACGCCTAGCGCATAAGCACCACGGTAAACACCTCTGGGTTGAACATGGCGAGAGAGAGGAACTCCGCCTTCAAGTACACACGAACCAGCATTTAGTCTACATCAGCCAAGCCGAACACGGAGAACCATTAGCAAACGCTGTATCGACAAACCACCCGTTGAATCGCTGATGAGGAAGTGCCGCACGCCACCTGTTCGTCGGAGAGCCTCCGGAGCGCCGGCCGCCGGGTCGAGCGCGCCAATGGAGTCGACGAGGCGGCAGTGGCCGTAGTCCCGCACCACCCCAGGCGACGAGGCTGCAATGCTCCATAGGTTCCTCCATGACCCTGCGGCTGGCAGGAGAGAGAGGAGAGTGCCTTTTTGGTATGGAGCTGGGGCTAACTAGTGGGGCGGGCTTGGTGCTGCACCTACGGAGGAGGCCCGGGGCCGGGGTTGGGATGGGTGGGAGTGGGAGTGGGAAAGAGGGAGGTGGATGGGGTGGAGAGAGGCGGCGGCGGCCATGGGAGCGGAGCCACCCAGAGCAGCAAAGGGAGGAAGATAGGGGTGGATACGTCACTTAAACGCTGGTCCCACCTAAAAGGAAGGTGGTTCACTACTTTTATCGGTTTTTTTTTAGAATCCACTTCTATTTTTGTGTCCTGCAACCATAAACGGACATGAAAATTTTGAACCGGTGAAACTCTCAGGCAGTGAAACATTCGGAAACGAGGAAACTGAACTCGGCCCTCCAACACTGCAACTTCATTGGCCGCGATCAAGAGACACGGTTCACACCCATTGGGCCTAATGTAAGGTTATCAAAATCGTGTGCAATCAAATCACAGAGACTTTAAACGTGCAAGTCATAGAAATGTTGACGTCAATGACTAATCATGCCTTTTTGCCAAGATTATTAAGCCGAATTGGAATTTTGACAACCACGCCATTATATTTACTTTGCATCTAAAAATAAAGAATAAAAAAATACGCCATTCTTGATAGACGAGACAGAGACTCAAACAACCCTGGGCAATCCACGACGAAAATTTGATACCGACGCTTAAGAGTCATGCTAACTCTTTGAAACCTTCTAGGCAGTGTACCCAGGCATTCTATGACACCTCATTCGATTCATTTGGTTAATGCATCGAAAAACTAAATGCTTTGCTTTAGTACAACACATTCTTGTATATTTATTAAGTAACTAACGGCAGGGTATAACAATTGCCAACTCTGAACAGCGCGCAGCCTAAAGATACTAATTTGGCTATTGGATTCTATGACAGTGTATCCTTTAAAACAACTAAAATTGTAATGCGATAGGAGTAACCTTTTAGGCTAATCACACCCATTATATTCCATTGATTGGATCAAATTATTCATAAACATACTGTTGATTGGAACTAAAAGTTTTGGTTCCACACCCATCAGAAAGCATCCACAGACGAAAAAAGTTATGCTTTGCAAAACGAGAAGTAAAGCGTCTGACAAGCTTATTACCAACCTGGGAGATGCCTCACCCATAAAAGACATCAAGCCCATATCTTAGGATCAGAGATTAAACAGGAACGACATGAAGTAGTAAATAAAATCACAACAGTGTTTGTGTTTAATTCGCAAACCGATTTATAAATTCGTAGACACTCTCAGCCTGTTCGTTTGGCTGCGGCTTGTCGTAAACGATCGTAAATTTTCAGCCGGAACAGTATTTTTCTCTCACACAAACCAGCCAGCAGTACTTCTTCACGAACCAACAATAATACGAACCAGCCAACCGAACAGGCTGTCTATTATGCAATCTGCACCCATACGGAATTCAGGACTTCCCTTGCTGATGGGCGGATGTCCACCAACCGCTGAACTGAACCACCAAAAGTCCAAAGCAGACCAACAAAGGCAGCAGCAACCTGATGAAAATGATATCAACGAGACATTTAGTTAGGAATGGCAGAGTGTTCTGGCCGGTCCAACAGCAAGAAGCAGCATAAAACCCATACCTTGTATGTGAATTCCGGAAATAGCAGCTAGGATCCAAGCCTTCAGCCAGCGAATGCATTCCTTTCTCTATTTACAATTCTTCGCCAAAAGTTTTTCTCAGTTGATTTAAAATAAACCATTCTAATGCGGCTAACCTTCATTAGCTCTTCCTTGCATTCATTTGCTTCACCTTCCTGCCTAATGATCTTTATAAGCTCATCATCAACATCTTCCAAATATAATTCATCGAGCGTTGTAAGGTACTCAATGCCACGAGGGAGGCGCTTCAGTTCTGGGCACCCTGCAAACCGTAGCTCAACGAGGCTTCCTAGTGCACCTTCTTCTATTTCTACTTGGCTGAGCTGCGGAGCACCCCTTATATATAGTTCTCTCAGTCTAGGAAATGACTGCACAGAGAAGCATAATGTTTTCCCATCGTAAGCCCTATAAAGTTGAAGTGAGCATAAGTTACGCAACACCATGAGGTTAGGAAATGAGTTCTCATCAAGTTTGGAGAACGCCAGAGATAAACGAATGAGATAGTTAAGGTGCAACCAGGAAGAGAGAAGCTCAGGCATCCGTTTCTTTTCCAGCTGCCCTGCCAGTACGAGTTTACTAAGAGTTTCTGGTAAACTAAGTTGTTCCAATGGCAATGCTTCGTTTTCGTTTGACATACCAATTGACAAATGCACGAGACTGCTCATGTTCTGGAGAGCACTGCGCAGGACTAACGAGTGCTCACTTGTCACGTCATCAACGGCAAATGTTCGTAAATCCGTCAAAGCTGCAACGTCACGGAGAGTCTCTGAGCTAGCTTTAACCTTTTGAAGAGCATGCAGTCCTGTCAGGTTCTTTATTATGCCCCTAGGCACCTTTAATCCACGCTGACGCCAGAAAGATCCTTCATTGACACTTACAGTTGCATATAGGTACCTAAGCTTCTTCAGTTTTCCTACATCCTTTGGTAAAGATAGTAGACCAGTGTCGAATGCATCTAGTACTTCTAAGTTTTGCAATCTTCCAACAGCCTCTGGTAGAGTCTCAATTCCAGTACAACGGAGACCCAAGAAACGCAGATTAAACAAGCTGAAGACCTCATTAGGGAGCATCTTGATTTTAGTACCTTGAAGATCCAATGTTGACAACAATGTTGAGGATGCAAGGATAGGCCTCAACAAATCGATATCAACAGAACTTGTAAAAACATAGATTGCACGGAGCTGCATCACACCAGATTGATTCAGCGGTACAACATTGGTGCTATTTATTGACAGTCTGCGTGTTTCATGTACTGAAAATGTCCCATGGCCCTCATAAACTGTACAAAAGCATTCTTTTGCTGCTTTGTCAAGGGCAAAATGGCGGATGATATCATGCATTCGGCAGCACCTCAGTCGTCCGAATTCATTCTTCATCACGACTTGTAGCAAGCTTCGGTTTACAAGATCATTCAAGTATCCCTCTGCCACTTGTTCTAGTGTTTTGTTCTCCTTTTCCTTGATGAATCCAGATGTAATCCAGTGCCTAATTAATCTTCGCCTCCCCAATTTATAATCCTCAGGAAATATTGCACAATGTAAGAAGCAATTCTTTAGTTCATGCGGAAGGTCCTCCAAGCTTACTTTTAGAATACTATCGACTCCTTGGATCACATTATTATTTGACTGCAATTCTAGCTCCATGTACACACTATCCCATTCAGAGTATGTTGGTTGTTTGACAGACAATAGACGTCCTATGCATGCAATGGCAATAGGCAAGCCTTCACACTTTTGTAAGAACTTTACAGCCAAATCCTGTAACTCTGACGGGCACCTTTTGTCATCACTATTCCGAAAAGCTGTGTTGGGTTTTCGTGATTTTTTAGTGTTTTTGTTTTGTGACGCGATGACGGAAACAGTAAAGACGTTCGAGATGTACGTCAAACACCTGTACAGATTAATAAAGAAATGTTCATCCAAAATGACTACTATTCGATTTAAGACAGAATTTGCAAACTTACTGCATGCAACTCAGCTTGTTGTGTGGTTACCTTAATGGCCCTGTTCGCTTCTCTTATAATCTGTACTTTTCAGCTTATTTTTTTAGCCGAAACAATATTTTTCTCTCACAACAAATCACAGTGTTTCAGCTTGTTTTTTCAGCGAAGCGAATGGACAAATGACTTGTGGCTTCAAGATTTATTTGACGATCACGTTATGCATTTTAATTTATCTAGAAATCGAACTCCCTAATAATCTAACACGTTGGCCATGAGAGGATTACATATCATTTATCAATGATCGTGCCATGCATTCTAATTTGTTTTAGGATCAGACTCTATATCATGCCTAAACACTAACTCATACATGCATGGGAGAGAGTGGATCATGAAAATATTCCATATTCTAATTCGTTTTGAAATCAAACTCCAAATCGTGCTTGGACACCCTACTCTAATATATACAGTACATTAGATCACATGGGACAGTTGTGAGCGATAAAGGACGAAGAATCATTTCACTCTTTAATATTAAGGTACATGGATAGATAGATATAACACTACTACATAAAAGATTTTAAAGACTACTCATTTTATTTATAGAGGCAGTCACGAAATGTGACTATCTCCTAAAATACATACTGATTTTCAGAGGCGGTGGACAAATAATTTTAGGAGACACCCAGTATAGGACCACCTCCTTAAATCAATTAACAAAAGCGGGTGTTAGGGTTTTCGGATGAAGTTAGGGTTTTCAGGTGTTATATGGTCTGAAGTCAATACCGGGCTAAGATGGGCTAAGACGGTGAAAGGTCCTAATAGCTAGAGGGGGGAGGGGGTGAATAGCCTATTAAAAATTTCTACAATAACACTTAACAAATCGGTTAGACAATTATGAGGCGAAGTGAGTGTTGCGCTAGCCTACTAAAAATGCAAGCCACCTACCACAATTCTAGTTTATGTAGTTTCTATCCACACAATAACTATGTCACTACACTAAGTTAGTGTGCTCTCAAAGGCTAACTAAAGAGCCACACTAACTAAACTAACAAGCTCTTACAACTAGATACACTAAAGAGCTTGACAACTAGTTTACGGTAATGTAGAGAGAGTGAGCTAAATGGTTATACCGCCGTGTCGAGGAATGAGCCAATCAATCACAAGAATGAATATCAATGAAGACCAATCACCTCGGAATCAAATTGATGACACAATGATTTTTTACCGAGGTTCACTTGCTTGTCGGCAAACTAGTGCTCATTGTGGCGATTCACTCACTTGGAGGTTCACGCGCTAATTGGCTTCACACGCCAAACCCTCAATAGGGTGCCGCACAACCAACACAAGATGAGGATCACACAAGCCACGAGCAATCCACTAGAGTATATTTTGGCTCTCCGCCGGGGAAAAGTCAAGAACCCCTCATAATCACCACGATCGGAGACGGAGACAATCACCAACCTCCGCTCGACGATCCTCGCTGCTCCAAGCCGTCTAAGTGGTGGTAACCACTAAGAGTAACAAACGAATCCCCGCAGCGAAATACGAACACCAAGTGCCTCTAGATGTAAACACTTAAGCAATGCACTTGAATTCACTCCCAATCTCACAAAGATGTTGAATCTATGATGAAGATGAGTGAGAGGGCTTTGACTAAGCTCACAAGGTTGCTATGTCAATGCAAAATGGCCAAAAGGCTGAGCTTGAGCCGGCCATGGGGCTTAAATAGAAGCCCCTATGAAATAGAGTCGTTGTACCCCTTCACTGGGCATAACGCGGGGTGACCGGACGCTCCAGTCAGATCAACCGGACGCTAAACCCCAGCGTCCGGTCACCCGATGCTTGCCACGTGTCATCGGCTTCAAATGCTGATCGCCCGATCTCAACGGTCAAGTGATGACCAGACGCGCTGCTCAAAGTGACCGGACGCACCAATACCAGCGTCCGATCGTTTCCAGTAAGGTACCAGAAGCGAAAAATCACGACCGGACGTGTTCGGTCATGCTCGATCGGACACACCCAGCGTCCTGTCACTCAACGTTTCCCCTGTGCGCTGCATATATCATCATATGTCATACTGACCGGACTTAGGCCCTGAGCGTTCGGTCATTTCTCGTGCCAGCGTCCGGTCATGAGACCGAAACCGCACGCTTACAGCTACCACTGACCGGACGCGCCGGTCCTACCGAGATCAGCGTCCGGTCACTTATAGTGACCTCTGTCTTTTCTGTATAGAGCGCCGGTGGCACCGACGGACTGTCCGTAGTCTACGGGCGGACACTCCGCCGGTGAAGTTTCTAACCCTTGCTCAAATGTGCCAACCACCAAGTGTATCACCTTGTGCACATGTGTGTTAGCATATTTTCACAAACATTTTCAAGGGTGTTAGCATTCCACTAGATCCTAAATACATATGCAATGAGTTAGAGCATCTAGTGGCACTTTGATAACCATATTTCAATACGAGTTTCACCCCTCTTAATAGTACGGCTATCGATCCTAAATGTGATCACACTCTCTAAGTGTCTCAATCACTAAAACAAAATGGCTCCTACCACTTATACCTTTGCCTTGAGCCTTTTGTTTTTCTCTTTCTTCTTTTCAAGTCCAAGCACTTGATCATCACCATGGCATCACCATCATCATGATCTTCACCATCGCTTCATCACTTGGAATGTGCTACATATCTTATGATCACTTGATAAACTAGGTTAGCACTTAGGGTTTTATCAATTCACCAAAAACAAACTAGAGCTTTCAGATGGGCACGGCCTCTTTAACAAAGGCGGACTGCCTCTCCATTTTCAGAGGAGGTCCCCCTATGTGAAAGACGCTGAGCCCATCACAGCCCATCTTAGCCTCATACTGACTTCAGAATATATATAACACAAGAAAACCGTAGGCCCGCCTCTAAAAATGGCCTCCATTTTTAGTTAAAGAGGTAGAGCTCATCTTTGCCCATCTCAGCCTGGTATTGACTTTAGACAGTATAACACCAGAAAACATTAGCTTCATCAAAAAAACCTTAACCCCAGAAAACCCTCCACCCGACGCCGCCAATCTTATCTTCCCTCTCCATTGTCAGTGGCCACCCCACCAGCGAGTGGACCTGTCGGCTGTAGTGCAGCTCCGCCTGTAGGTCCCCTACCACCATCATCCTCCTCTTTGCGTCCTCCCTGCCTGGCTGATGCACCGTCTGTCCTCCTCATCAGTGTCTTCCTCGATGGCTGCGGTGCGGGCAGGTGGAGATCCGGTGGCGAGCGCGCGCACTTGGGGAGATCCGTTAGTGAGAGCGTGGGCGACGCAAGATCCGGTGGCACCCGTGTGGGCGGACTGGGATCTGGTAGCTAGCGTGTCATCTCTCTGGCTGCGGTGCTCACGCAAGGCCCTCTCCGGCGGCGGTGGCGCAGGTCCATCTCCGTAGGTTGCAGCGCGGGTCCCCTCCGGGGCCAGCTTGCTGTGGCGTCCGAGGCCAACTTAGATCAAGGGCGGCGACGGGGCTTGTGGCGCACACAGATCTGGCGGGGAGGGGTGGCAGTGTGTCATTGGGCTCGACAGGCCTTGTAGATGGGTTCAGTAGGCCCATCGACAGGCTCACTATTTTTATACTTTTTATTTATTAACCGTCTCTATAAATCTAAATTTACACGGGCGCGGTGTTGGAGACGGTTGCCCTGCCTGCCTGCGTTAAAGCTTTTTGACCGTCTCCAAAAATGTTTAGTGTAGTAGTGTAAGTATAGATAGCGAATGTGCATGCGTGCTGCAACAGAACACATATCTTGTTGCGCGGTCACCTAAACGACATGCATTTCGGAGGTTTATGTAACAATTACGTTGTATGTTTCAATATATATTGAAATCAGACTACATATCATCATTGGACACACATGAACGGACATGTTTCTAACTCGTATGAGCATAGGTTGTGAGTCCAAGCCATAGATGAGACAAGGAAAGATGCGAGGGCATTGTAGGAAATAAAAAAAAGAGGACAGAAGAATCACATCACTCTTTAATATTACTAGCAAAATATGCCCGTGCATTGCAACGGGAGAAAAGCAAAAGATATGACTACATTTTATCCTTATAAAATTTTAAATCTAATTTATTTCATGATCATCATGACATCCATAATATAAGTTAATGTTGGTAATAATATGACAATGTCCTATTAAGCCGGTATCCAACCAAAAAACATCTTGATAGATCTTTTTTTCTCCCGTTGCGAAGCACAAGAATATTTAGACGTAAATATATTATAACTTTAATTTCCATACTATTCATATGGTGTTACACTTATATATTGAGCCCTTTTTTGTGACTTATATATTAAGATCTGTGACTTTCTTTGAGCACCCATAGAAATATATAAGTTATCATATTCGATTAAAGTCGGAAGGAGATAGTTGCGGACATGTCAAGTATCGGTATGTTCTGCCATGATTATAACGGGAGACCTCTTTCAAATTTTCATATATCAGCTCTTATCAGACATTGCAGAGGTACATTTGTTTAAACTGAATTAGACAATAAACTGTTTAAGATTTCAATTCACTATTTGATTAGTTGGACCATTAACTAATCTAGATTTTAATAAGAATATAAGTTTCGTCTAATCAAACCGCATCAATGACTTAATAATTATTTTTTGTTTCTTAGAGATAGGAATAGGCAAAGATCAATGGTTCAAAAGTCTATAACATTATATATATTATTTGTTTTTTTATATTTATACGAGAAAAAACATTGTAGCGAAAGAACGAGTAAAAAATCAGACTCAAAAAGCAAGAACAACAAAAAAGATTGAAAACAGGAAAACCAAGATCAGAAAATAGAAACTGAGCCAATCACCGACAGGACAGGAAAAAAACGTAAACAAAAAAAGGAAACGCAAATAGAAGCCGAGCCAATCAGCAAGCTGAAAAAAGGGAAATAAAGAAACGGAAAT